TAACAACATTATACAGCTAAAGCAGACTGCGACTAAGCCAAAGACCACACCATTTTGGCATTCAAATTTACGAGACCCTTACCTAAGCCCCAAAATAGCCTCAAAATGTTGACACGGTAACTTGAAGCTTCTTCCCTACAGAGGTTGTTTGACCTTGTTTTCGCAACATGGTCATATTGGTAGGAAGACTTGGAGCAACGCACCGATGCCGGCGAAACGTTTGAGAATGTACCACGTCCACGGTTCAACTTAGGAAATGATGATGCATACAATAAACTCCGGACAAGATGCGTTCCTCTAAGTCTTCCTACCAATTTGAGGAAGTTGCCAAAACAAGATTAAACAACTTCTATGCAACGAAAGGAGACTGCGACCACCCAAAAGGCCACACCATCTTGGTCTTCATACCTTCTTCTCTACAGTTTGCTGCTACGCCGTAATTTAGGGAAATGGCCCTAAATCGTCGACATAGATCGTACACTCTGTTGTTTGCACTGGCATCGACAAAGGTCGGAGGACGGTTGACGTTGGAGACAAGTTATATCTACCCAAGGTCGTATAAAGTGAGAAAGGATTGACAGTAGAATTTATGCCTCAACCATATGAGTAGACCCCTCAACGCGATTAAATACAGCCCCTAATAAAGGTCTACTGGCAGTTTCGAAACCCGCTAATTACGAATAGCTGTAGTCGAATGTGTAGTTGAGCCCCGAAAGACAGGTTTCACTCAAACATGTGGTCCGTTTTGTCGGGCAGAGGTAGGCAGATGCAGAGAACCGAGGCACAAAGGCTCTGGCTGCTCATCCTCTGTCTCGTTTAAGAGTCTGTTAGACTGTGGCAATTCAATCGCTTAGATTGGGTATAAAAAAGGGAATTCTTCACGAGGAGATTGCATTTTGTGAAGCGGCCATGATACAAAGAGCCAATACGATAATGGCTTTGTAGTGGATGTGAAGCTGTGAATTTGCGAGGCGAAGAGATTGGCTTAAGGCCAGTTTGTTATCATCCACGGCTGAGCCCGATTCGGATGCATGTGAAGCAAAGAGGGCCACAGCAATCCTTCACCATCCATTCGGACAGTGATGTGTATCAAATGGCATTCCTGGCGAGATTAACAACTCGTGCCGTCTTTACTGGCTGTAGCGATATTCTAGAAGCTGTCATCATTGAAGGAACAAACGACTAGAATTTATATTTCGTAGAGAAACTGGGTTTCTATATGCCTTTTCAAACGGAATTAAAGGTAATCCAACCTAGAATGCATGTTGTCTGCTTTCTATAAGGTATGAGATTTTTTGTTCTACCGATCCAAAGCCGACTCACTCTCAGTTTTAACAATATTAGAATGTCTGACCACTGAAGACAATTGTTCTCTTAGAAAGAGAGTAATGCGAATGTATGCTTGAGTATTGCAAATTTAATCGTCACACTTGAAGATGAGCAGGAGGGCCACTGCAGACGCCGCAGTGATCTAAAATACGTTTTAAGAATTACCAAGTCTCAGGTCGGCAGACCGTCTTTGAAGGCCGCAGTTCGACTGGCCAAGGCAGTGAAAGGAGGCTCTTACTGTCTCCTGCGAGAATTGAGCCCTGACGACATCGACAACCGCAACAATATCAAAAACAGGCACAAAGTCAGCGACATGGATGCTATGAGCGGCATAGACATTATTGACGATAGAAGCAAAATCAGCGAGCTAGGCAAAGCAGCCTAGATCATCTACATTGGTTCGATACACGACATCCGTGATATCGGTGACCATGACGGCGTTAGCAACAGGTGAAAGCAGTGACAGTGACACCAGTGAAACCTAAACATCAGAGATTTGAATGACAGGCATGACCTGAGCGACATGGGCGAAATTGGTGAACTTGGCGGAGTCGACGACATAGAAGACATCAACGACTTTGACGACATCGGTGACATAAGGCAGTGAAGGCATCAACATCAGCGGAGGCTTGTGCCAATTTCAATGAAATCAGTCTCAACGGTGAAATCGACTAACTCGGTGACTTCAGCTAATTTGGTGACATCGACCATATGAGTGACCTAAGTGAATTCCATGAAGAGATTCATCAAAGAAATCTGTACTATCGGCTACAGCGTTGATTTTGGAGGCTCCAGGGACGTGACAAAATCTGGAGCCTCTGAAATCGGCAAAATCTACAAAATCAGCGATATCAGAGAAGTCGGTAGCATCGGCGACTACGGCGGCAAATGCGAATACAGCGACTTCAACGACATCATATTAATCGACAATTTCGCTTAAATAGACCAATTAGAAGGAAACAACAATATTGGTGAGTTCGACGGAATAAGCATCTTTGGGGCCATCGGTGGAAGCAACAACATTGGCGACATAATCGACGCCAGTGGCATCAGCAAAATCGCCGATCTCGACGAAATCGGCGAGATAATT